TTTGCGCAGAACTGGTTCCACCCTTTACTCCTGAGGTTCATCTGCCAGGGCCTAGCAAGCTTGGACAGTGACAGCGAGGTCCTCAGGATGTAGGTTTAGTTAGAGTATCCTTCTTTTGGATGGATGGCCTTACAGGGCTAAGTGAACTCCATCTACCCGTGTTTAAAATTAGAGTTGTCCTTCTCCTAGGATGACTGCCGGAAGGTTAGTGAGCCCATCCTGACCATGGACACATTTTATCTGTCCCTTCAGTTTTGACCTGTTTGGCATGGGAGACCCTACCAGAGGCATGTGCCACCCCCAGCACAGCTCGCAACCTCATTAGGGCATACAGGCCTCTCCCCAATGAAATAGTTTGGACAAGCTCTTCTCTCGCTACTTTTCCTTCACAGTTTCCTACATTATTACCCAGGGACATTTCCTTGCCCTAAACACCCCTCCAAGACACTATAATTCCAAAACAAACAAACAAAAAAACCAAAACAAAAAAAAAAAAAAACAAAAAATCCCCACATTCCTGGGCAGAAGCGGCAGGCAAACCAAGCCCATCACATCCCACCCTCACTGCGACAATGCCTGAACAGGAGCAAACCCGGCATACCCCTGGGCAGGGAGAGCACACATGTAAGGGGTCCGTCATCCACCTGGGGCTTGGTCACCCTCCACAGCCACTGCCCAGCCCAAACCCCCCAACCCTCAGAGAAACCCACTACCCACCCCAACCTCACCCCCTCTCCCCCCCACCGTGCCACTGCAACCCCCTCCTCACACTGTCCACTTTTGGTCCCCCAAATGGGACTGCCCCACCCACCCCTGTAGGTCCAGGGAACCCCCAGGTCTGTCCAACCCCCTTCCGGCTCCTGCCCGGCCCGGCCACCCCTCTGTATGGTCACTGGTCATCCACCACCCACTCCGCCATCGAGACAGAGCTCCCAACGGCTTCTCCTTGACCTCGACTGCACAGATCAGTGTGGCAGTGTCTCCCATGCATGCAGCTTGACGATGAGCCACAGGAGCAGGAGCGAGTCCCTCACCACCCACCACCCAGCTGCAGGAGCATGCTGAGCGCGTGGCCACTATCTTGGCCCCCTATGGTTACATACAGCTGAGTCAAGTATACAGACTTAATTTTGGTATGATTTTATAATATGCTTATTGCTGTGATGTGATTCTATGTTATTATTAAATCATATGAAAAGAGTACACAATTTAACAGTTTCAGGCAAAGTAGAAAATAAATAGAAATCAGAGGGGTTTGATTGTATGTCAAAGAGCATATCTAATGGATAATATATGAATCTCTTGAGCTTTTGGAGTTACAGAATCAATCTTAATTGGAAAAATATCTCTTCAGAATCTTGTTGCTACCATCCTTCCATTTCTTAAACAATAGAAGAGCATCTGATCTGATATTGACCCTCAAAATACTGATAGGTTGTCCTATCTTACATCTGTCCATCACTAAAGCTTGACATACATTTTAATGTTCGCTACGTAAAATTGCACCCTGTGGCGTTTTGACCTTAGCTGGATGCCAGGTCTCCACCAAAGTCTCTCTATCACTTCCCTCCTCTATGGTACAGGGTTTGTGGGTCGAGATAAGGACAGGGAAAGATCACTCACCAATTAGTGTCATGGGTAAAACAGGCTTGACTTGGGGAAATTAATTGAACTTATTACTATCGGCCATGAAGGAATGGGACTGCATGCACATGATTTGGTTTTCAAGATTCTCTGAAGATGTCTCTGTGTTTCCCTTTTATTAGTGTTATTTGATAAACAGTAGCTGGTGTTGTCATTCAGCTAACCTGAATTCCCAGGATTCTTGCTAAACTGATGTTTTGACTTCACACAATCACACTATCATTCTGTGGCTGTTTTCAACCACAGCAAACCATGCAGACCGTTAAGCGGTTTTCCCACTTTGAGAACACAGAACTCTCTTTGCCAAAACATTGGCAATCCTTTTTGGTTCTAATTAACTGAACGCAGGTGCAGTTGCCTCAACTTGGTCCCACAATTACCAATCAAATCAGAGGAGGATAATGAGAGCTAAAACAAATCTTAGAAATGCCTTCCCCCCCGCCTCCCTCCTTCTCGGGCTTAACTTTATTCCCGATTCTGCACCTCCTCCTTCCAGGGGGGCAGAATGGAGGTTACAGTCAGTTCATCCCATATTTCTGCTGCTGCTTCCTCCTCAGGGAGAGGTCTCCTTCCCATGCTACAGCATGGGCTCCCTGCCACGGGAGACAGTCCTCCACAAACTTCTTCAATGTGAGTCCATCCCACAGGCTACAGTTATTCATGATCTGTTCCAGTGTGAGTGCCTTCCACAGGGTACGGTCCTTCAGGCACAGCCTGCTCCAGCATGGGTCCCCCACAGGGTCACAAGTCCTGCCAGAAAACCTGCTCTAGCGTGGGCTCCTCTCTCCACAGGTTCCTACCAGGAGCCTGCTCTATCGCAGGCTTCCTATGGGGTCACAGCCTACCTCAGGCTTCCATCTGCTCTGGCATGGTCCTCCACAGGCTGCAGGTGGACATCTGCTCCACCATTAACCTCCATGGGCTACAGGGGGACAGCCTGCCTCAGCATGGTCTTCTCCATGAGCTGCAGGAGAATGCTCCAGTGCCTGGAGCACCTCCTCCCCCTCTGTCTTCACTGACCTTGGTGACTGGATAGTTGTTTCTCTCAAATATTCTCACTCTGGCTACAGTTTTCTTCTGTGCAATACCTTCTTTCCTCTTCTTAAATATGTTATGACAGAGGTGTTACTACCATTACTGATTGGCTCAGCCTTGGCCAGCAGTGGGTCCATCTTGGCTCTGTTGGACAAAGGGGAAACTTCTAGCAGCCACCAATGTAGCCCCCCCACTACCAAAACCTTTCCACCAAAACTCAATACACACCCTGAAGTTACTGAAATAGTTCTGTCACTTGGAGTAGAACTCAAACACATCCAGGCTATACAACAATCCTGTTGCTGAAAGAGTGGTGTTATAAGATATGAAGACTTGGAATAAAATATGGGATTGGAGTCTACCCTGGCTTCCAATCAGGAGGCCTGGAGACACACTATTTATAATGTTACTGATTCTTTTGAGAACACACGCAGGATCACTCTCAAGGAGAAAAGACAACGCAGAAAGAATTACGTCTTGTCGATATCACCTGGGGAGTCTTTCTGCTGTGCCTTCTGCAACCAGACTTGTCTATCTCGCATTGGTCTTTTTAGCCATCAGTGCGCTTGTAGCAAGCCTAGGTAGAGCCCTTCTCAAATCTTCGTTCGCGAAGCCTAGCCATGATGATGAACAACCACTTCCAGACAAATTAAGGTCTCTGTGATAGATATGACTTTTTTCCTCCTTGGTTGGTCAGTTGAATAACAGAACTCAGCTTAGGCAAAATTTAATTCACAAATTTGTGTGCATGCTTAAAGTATTGCTTTTTCATTTATTTGTTTAAGCAGTAAAAGTAATATACCACTTTCAGTGGATGTTAAGCACTCTTCCCATACTGGGGAAGAGACTCCTCAGTACTTTTGACACTCTTGGGAAGACTTCATGGTACATTCCGTTTCTTTTTTCAGGAAGACCCTGAAAGTCTTATCTGGCAATGAGCAACTTTTTCATCCTGTTCCTGAGCCAATTTTAGCTAGCTTTTCCATTCAGAACCAAAACATTACCTACCTACTGAGGTGTGCAAAAGGTATTTAGAGGCAATGGTTATGTTGCTGTTTCCTAAAGCTGAGGAAAACAGATTAATGTGTCCCAGAAAGATCAAAGAAATCTGTTCTAGATTGCTTTTTCTAGATTGCCCAGAACTATGGGGAAAGTGAACAGAAAAGCAATGTGCCTTTTGTTTTTAATTCATTGAATTCATTTTAATTCATAGAATAGTGAACTTAAGTGCTACAAGTCTGACAGGTGTCTTCAAGCATACACCTGTAGTTGTCTCCAGTGAAAATGTTATCACCCTTGCAGTAAGTGCTATTCTCTAGTAGCAAATTTCAAAAGAAAAAGTTCTTTTGCTGTGTCAACTTTAACTTGTACTTGCTATTGACTCTCAGAACAAACAAGGAAGAGTTGAGCAATCTAATGTATTAAATAGTTTCACTGCAACTTGTAGTTTCTCTGGGAAGAAAAATAAACCTCTGGTGGTCATATCTAATGAAGGATGGAGAAAATACATTGTGTTTATAATATCGGTATACTCAAACTTTCAGTTAAGTCCCAGTCTATATAACTCTAGGACAGTTTACAAGCAATTTGTGACTATAGTGGGGCAGTTCTGGTACTGTACAGCTGAGTCTTGAGCAAAACTAAAGCTCTGCAAAAAGTATAAATACTGTTAATAATGCTCATATTAATTGTCAGTATTGAATATCATGCTCCCATGATATTTTTAGGTATTAAGTTTCTGTAAAGCATTCTTGTAAATGTCAGACACTTTTTGTTAATACATAATATTAAAATCAGTTATGACAAACTTGCAGTAGTTTTTAGTGAATGAGAACTAGAAATTTCCCTCTTCAACTCATATTTGTACAATCAGTAGTTTTTAGATCCAAGCAGAAATGCAAAAAATTTCAAAAAGAAGAAGTTGCACTAATTTAACTTCTGGGTGGATGAGTCCCATAGAACTAATATAGGTTGAAGGCTGTCTAGCCAACAAATAAATAGTTCATTTAATTTGGTTGTTGTTAGACCAGGAAGCCTTCATTGAGGTGTTAAAAATATCAAGTCTATTATTTTAATACTGTGCAACATAGATTTATGGCAAATTATGACACCTTAAGTTTCCTATAAACAAACTAGGTTAGAAACTATTGCAACTTGTCTTTAGTGGTGATTTTGCAACTGTTCAAACCCTATTAGATAATGAAGAAAGGTTACATGCTGCCTACATTGTAGCCATTCTTTAGCTGAAGGACGCTTTCCAATTCTGTCAGGTCCATGAAATCCATTTTGTTATCTAATATTTGAACTTTTTTAAATCATAGGTATCTACAAAGAACAGTAAAGCACCCTGTCTTGTTGCAGGATCCAGATTTAAGGCTATTCTTGGAAAGTTCTGAGGTATTTAAAGTCTTTTAAGTTCTTTATTTGTTTCCAGACATGGTAAGTAATACATTCTTTGTAGAGACCTAATCTCCTAAATTTACATGAAATCAAATTGGATCGTACCCTTCATGGGGCAGAGTGACAAAAGGCTAATTAGGTAATTGTATACAAAACCTACTGCCTCTACCTCTGATAAATCTGCTGTTCAATTACTTCTGCCAAGTGAGTTGGTCTTTCTGGTTCTGAGTGAAGCTCATTATACACAGAGTGAAAATCCATAATCAGTGCCACCAAGGGTTAAATAAAATCATGAATTAAACTGGTTTGGAAGCAGTTCTTGCCTCTAGGAGTCAAACTAGAGGTTTATTGGCATAACGTGAGCAGGCAGGAAGCGCTGTTGGCCATGTTAGATGTTTTGTGGATAGAGGACCAGTGCTATCAATCTGGCACCTTTCACAAAATGAAATATATTGCGGAACAGATTATCTGTTATGTCTCTCAAAACATGTCTATAAATGTGCATAGTGGATTTGGTGTTATAGTGGATTGTCTTTTAGCCAATGTCAATATCTTAGCTACGCTAATAAGTCACAGAAGCCTTGATTGATAGATAAAGTGTCAATGCTGTTGACACAAAGTATCAGATATGAAGGGTAAGTGGCCTGATAGACTAATGTTAACAAATAATAATATCAATTGCAAGTTTCTTAAATTATTCATGAGGATTTCTAAGTACCTCAAAATGTACAGTTCTCTCAATACTCATGAGGTAGGTTTTGAAACCTAGCCTATATTTAAAAGCAAAAGGACATCAACTTTCTATGATCTGTACACAGTGTGAATCCTGCATTATAATGAAGTGTTTTACAGAATTTATGTATCTAATTATAAATCTAAGCTTTTCTGTTTCTGTAATGGCAGTTTATTCTTTGTAGTATATAGTTGACTATTTAGGGCCTTTGGCTAGTTCATAACTTCTGGCAAATGGGGTTTTTGTTCCATTTAAATGCAAAGGTATAGAAGAAAAGTAAATTGTATTGTTAAGTTTTCCTCTGAGAATGTAAAAATAGTGAAACTGAGAAATTGAATTCCACTATATTGTAACACACAGGAGTAGGGAAAATAGATTATCCTTTTCTCCCTCTTGTACCCAGTTAAACCTCTAGCCTTTTAACCAGTCTGCCCTTATTTGTCATTCATTTCCAGCTGCCTAGAGCTGTTAACACCCAGGCTCTGAGTGGAGCAGGAATATTGAGGATGGTAAACAAGGCTGCTGATGCTGTCAACAAAATGACAATTAAGATGAATGAATCAGATGCAGTAAGAGCTCATTTTTTTTTACTTGAATAATGAATCAAATTAATAATGCTCAACAATTGCATTTTAAAGCTGTAGAAATAGAAAATAAGATAGTAATTTGCTTATTGGCTTGAATTCTTACAGAATCATAGAATCAGATGAGTTGGAAAGGACCTCTGAGATCATCAAGTCCAACCCTTGATCCACTACCACCACAGTTACTAGACTATGGCACTAAGTGCCACATCCAGCCTCATCTTAAAAACCTCCAGGGACAGAGAATCCACCACCTCCCTGGGCAACCCATTTCAATGCCTGATTACCCTCTCTGTAAAGAATTTCTTCCTAACATCTAACCTAAACCTCCCCTGGCAGAGCTTGAGACCATGCCCTCTTGTCTTAGTGATAGCTGCCTGGGAGGAGACCAACCCCCACCTGGCTATAACCTCCTTTCAGGTAGCTGTAGAAAGTGATGAGGTCTCCTCTGAGCCTTCTCTTCTCCAGGCTAAATAACCCCAGCTCCCTCAGCCTCTCCTCATAGGACTTGTATTCAAGTCCCTTCACCAGCCTTATTACTCTTCTCTGGACCTGCTCCATCACCTCGACATCCTTCCTAAACTGAGGGGCCCAGAACTGGACACAGTACTCCAGGTGCGGCCTCATCAGTGCTGAGTACAGGGGAAGAATCACTTCCCTGGTCCTGCTGGCCACACCGTTCCTGATACAGGCCAGGATGTATCTTTGATTTATCAGTTGACCATCCTAACAATAAATGGATAATTTGCTTCTTTAAAACAAAGAATGCTGTTGGTAATGTAAATTATAATCCTAGACTCTTTCCTCTTTTGTCAGTGGTTTGAAGAAAAACAACAGCAATTTGAGAATTTGGATCAGCAACTTAGGAAACTTCATGCCAGTGTTGAAGAATTAGTCTGCCACAAAAAAGGTAACTTTACTTTTAGGTGACTGCATGAGTTTAAGTGCTTAGAGCTTTAGAAAATGTTAATGAAACAGGAACTTAGTATGTCAGAGCTCTTAACTAGCAAATAGTTTTGCAGTAAATTTCAATGCAAAAGTCTTCTAACTACCTTTTTGTTTGAACTGCTCTAACATTTCTGGTATATCTGTTTTTAACCTTAATTTTATCCAAAATATATATCATACCTTCCATTGAACTTGAAAGTTAATGTATTGATTAGCATGGGGTTTTTTTTCTTGCAGAGATTTAACAGCATAACTAGCAAGTGATACACTACAGTAGACATCAATAAATGTATCTAGATCTCATGGTGTCACCTAAAACCGATTGACAGATAGGTTCTTTTAGGGATCTTTGGCAGAATTATGACAGTACTAAGTCATAGTCCATATAAAGATTTATTTTTCCTAACAGGATTTTATGATTAGCATAGCATATAATTTATAATCAAAATAGCACAAGATTTCTATAAGCAGAATCAGTGTAGTATAATTTTCTAAGTAGCATAGTACAGAATTTTATAGCACCACTTAACTTATGTTTTCTAATCACCAGGACCCTCTGCAGATAAGGTCAAATCTTAATACTTGGTTTGCTGTATCAACATAACAATTATAATCTAGACTCAAAAAACATATAAAAGAATACTTGTCACTCAGTCCTCAGAGGAAGTAAGTGATTGTAGAGGCATCCCTGGCCACTGGGAGGTCACAGGTCCCACTGTCCAGCAGCAGTTCTAGTCTGAGTTCTCATTTAGGACTTGTAACTGCTCCATTACTGTTAGGACCCACCCATGAAGGCAAGGGTAACCCAGGTTCTTATTAATAGATCCCTTGAAGCAGACTAGAATGAAACGACACTGAATGACCAGTGTCAAAGTGATGTTCATAGTCCTGTCAAAGTGATGGTTGAGGTTGGGGGTAGGGGGAAAAAGCCTGTGAAACAGAGAGTCCATTGGGTTTATATTATGCTTAGGCTAGGTGGAAACGCCCCTGTACCTTCCCCTGGGGCAGGGAGTTTTACACTAGATGATGTAATACTGGACCACAGGACATTTCAAGACTCTTTGACACCTTCTAAGATGTTACAGCTGCCTATTACATCCCTGCAGTTGAGTCCATTATACCCCATTATGGCCCATCAGCAGAGATGAATACCTTTAGGTTAGATATGAATGTCCCGGTGCTTCCCCAGAGGGGAGTTATCACAGCTGAGTCACTTGTGTAAGGACAAAGAAACACTACCCTGCCTCACAGGATTTTCCTCTTTCCTTATCTCATTCAACACCTAGCTTGTAGCCTGTGGTGGTGGGTGTGCATGCCCTCAGCACCTGAGATAATTGGACAGTAGTGCCACCTTTATCTTATCTCAAGTTCCAAATTCTCAGTCCAAATTCCAGTTAGGAGGCATATTTGGGGAGGGGCAGGCTTTGGTGGTCGAAGATGAGCAGTTGTTTCTTTGCTTAGTTTGCTACAGTGGACAAAAGTCCTCCAATGATCTTAACAATGTTTAAGCCATTAACCATTTCAGTCTCTCACAGTTACGCTTCCCTATTCTGTGACAGAGTCATCAATACCTTGTTATCTGGGTTACCTGTGGCTGGTAAGGAAGGGAGTAGTTAGCCTGGTACCCAGGAATCTTGAGGCTGATAGGGTGGGAAAGAAGAAATCTATTTAATTTATCTACTTGGTTCACAGGACCTTCAGGGCCTTATAATGAGGGGAACAAATACATAACCAGCTCTGTCACAGAGAATGGTTGTTTGCCTTATAAAATGACATTAGTAATGCTAACCATATTACCAGGGGTTGGGAGCAGGGGGTACCAGTCACACCCCATCCCTTGACACCATCACAAACAGGGAAGGATGCCAGTGGTAGTGGTACCATCACCTCTTGCCCACAGTCTGCAACTTAGTAATAAGGTCATAAAGAGGATTCCACTGCAGTAATGGGCTGCTTGTTGTCCCAAGGCTGTTTAATGAGGAGGGAGGAGAGTATAAAACATTGACTTTTAGTAACTGATATGCATAAAGATTTAAAGCAAGATATAATGCAAAATAACGTAATTGCAACAGACAGAGTTAATATTAACAGAACATGACAGGCCCATGCTCTGAAGTCAGGTAACCAAGACCACAACCAAAACCAGGTAGTTGATAGACCTTCTGACAAGGGTTACTCAAGTCATTTGGTGAAAGGTATGAACTTGTCTGTGAATTATGTTTATATGATATTTGATTTGTTTAGATTTGTTAGTATAAAAACAAGTGGTGTTTGACAGTACACATACACCTCCTTGTGTTAGAAGATAATCTATGGCCCAGCAATTTTGAATAGCTAATTGTGATATAGGTCTAAATAAGTGTTTTTACCAGGGGATCAATGCTTATGGCATACAGGCTAATGGTTGCTTAAAAAGGGAGTAGTTAAATTTTTGGTTTGGAATGCACAGGGAGCAAGATGTGCTATGGTACAAGTACTTCTCACTGTTGTGGAAGACTTTTATGTGTTTGTGCTACAGAGCCAAAACTACCTGGATGCTAGAATGGTAGGCCACCCATTTGATTTCATAAGAATATCTAGGGAAATATTCCTCACACCATTGATAAGTCTCCTTTTCACTGTCAGGATGATCAAATTTGAGTAGGCAAGTGTGGCTTATTCAAATAGTGTGATAAGCAATTGGCATATATACAGCCGGTCATGTTATGCCACTTACCAGTGGTCCAACTGTTGTTAGTACTTAACCAACCATTACTCTGTAGAATGTAAAATGTAGAATTAGGACCAGTGAAATTACAAAATCTTTGACAAAATGTACCATAAATATTCCACTCAAGATTCCAGAGTGGTGAAATATTTAAAACAGCAATGTTTTGTTTTTACAGATCCATATGGTTCTTAAATGGGAGTAATTACAAACTCTGGTTCAATTACATCATATCAGCTGAAACTGGGTTTGCATCCAGCTGTAGAGCATAGTCACAAAGGCTTGTTTCTCCCACACTGACTTTCTGTGTTCAAGCATTGTAATGGACCATGGGGTTTTATCATGCAAATGTGCCTTAAAAGGTTGGATTTGATAAGTTGGAGGGCTGGGAAGTATGCCAGTTTAGATTGATACCAAGATGTTTCAGGAACAGATTCAACTAACCATGCAAAATTAGTATCTGAAGATTGAGGATGGTGTAAACAATACTGTAGGGACAGAAAAGTTAGATGCAGAAGATTTATTCGAGGAGGAAAAAGATATTTTGCTCAAGGAAGTTTTTACTGCTAGGAGAACTAGGCCTGGAAAAGACCAGTGTGGGAAAATCCCATTTATTACACCTACTGATGTTTATTCTCTGCCTGTTTCGAGAAGTAGGATTCCTATGTAGAGATAACACTTTCTCATAGACATGTTGTGAGGCCCCTGCTGGGAGAGACTGAGACCATAAAAGCACAGGGGAGAACATAGCCTTGAGGTGCTGTTCTAACAGCACCAGAAATAGGCTTGCTGGGCACTTTTTTTGTATGCTGCATGATCATTCAGTAATACATTGAAGTGTATTCAGGGTTTCCAACTTTGGAATAAACTTTTCTTTAATACCTTATGTGATAGTTTTAATCTAGGCCTTCCTGGCAACCAGCTCGTAACCAAGGAAGTGGCCATGTTCCCAGTATTCCATACGATTTTTACATAAACCAGAGTATAAATAAGAAGGGAGAGAAGCCTTTGCCCTCTTCTCTTCTAGTGGATCTGAAGTTGCAGGTTATCTGCTATTGGTTCTGCTGGTGTGGAGGAGTGAGACCTAGTGAGGCCTTGTAGGCCTTGTGAGGTGGAGAGTGCCAGCGGTCATTTGGTGCAATCCTGCTGTCTCAAGGAGAGTAGTAAGATTTTCTTTTATTAGTTCTTTATTGAGTTGTTCCCAGGTTTCAATTGTGCATATCTGTTTCAGTTTTCTTTTTATCCCTTTTTCCCTTTCCCTTTGGGGGGTGTTTGGGGTCCCTTTGATGTGTACATAGTATTTTAATTGTATATAACTGTGATATATGTAAAAAGATATATTTTGATATAATTTGATTGGTTTTGGGTTCTTCCATATTTTTTTTTTCTTTTGCTCTAAGAGAATAAGGGAGGGGGAGGGGTTTGTTACTGTAAGTTTGGGCATTTGGCAGGGAGCCAGGTCCAAACTATCACACCTTAGCTGTGGTTTGGTCCTCTGGGTTACCTGCGTACATATCAATTCTTACAAATACCAACAGTTTGATTAATTACCCATTTGAGAGATGATGTTCATTAACTGAATGACATTATTATTCCAGTCAAGAACAGTGTCACCCTGACAAAAGTGACAGGCTGACAGTGGGACTTTTAAAGGTTTTGTTGTTTGGAGAGCAGAAAAATGAGCTAATTCCATCAGGCATCTGGTGCATGTTTGTCCATTATTTCAGACAGCTTCAGGTAGGGCTTTACTCCATTTTTCTGTATATAAAGTTTTCTCTAGAGTTCATTTTAGTAGACCATCCCATCTCTCAGCCATGCCATTACTTTGGGGTCTGTAGGGCAGGTGGAACACTCAGGAAACTCCATTATGTTCACACCATTCTTGTACAATTTTATTTTTTAATGGGGACTTATTTCCTATCCCCTATCCATTTGGTGCTGAAAAAGGTAACAAATGTTTTTCCTTCATCAGCTGTTTCAAAAGTCTGTTTAGTTTTGCCCTGTATCCAGCTTTTGCCTCACAGAATATCCATACACAATATATTTAGGCTTCTTAGTAGCATTTAGTATTGGGGGGGTGGGGACAATGATGGGGAGTGGAAAAGGGAAATTCCAATTTTACCCTAACAATTGAATAAGGAACCACTACTCCATTTATCCATTTACTCATATTTTCTGATGTTTCAGAGGGATGACTCCAGGACATGATTCTGCTTTAATCATGGATGATTGCACTCCAGTATCTATGAAAAAAC